AACATAACGATGAAGAAGATCACGTAAAAGCTGTCCATCTAATTTCGACTACGATCTAAAAAAGTTAGACTGATGCTGGACGAGGGGAACTGGAAGAGTTGAGGAGTGGTGAGGTGAGGGGGTGGTTGTTTAGTCATGTCTCTGGGTGGCTGAAAAGATATATCGGATTTTGTATTCGAGTTCGCGATCGAGCAAACGAACCAAACCCAACCGTTTGAACGGCGGGGGCGTTAGTGAACAAGAGAGAGAGAGAAAGAGAGAGAGAGAAAGCGAGAGAGGAGACGAAAGGGGTGGGGGTAGCTGTGAATGAAGCTAACCACGCACTATCACTCCTCTCAATGGAGGTGGTGTGTGAAACTCTCCTCCTCCTCTAACCCCTTCCCACACCTCTTTCTTCTTCTCTCGTTCTCGAAGAAGAAGAAGAAGAAGAAGCAACAGCCACGCACGCACGCACGCAATCACGCACGCACGCACGCAATCACGCACGCACGCACGTACGCTACGAGTATATTTCCGTTTCGTGTTTATACGCGAATGCGCTTTAAGATACCGCGGCATTTGAAACGTAGCAGATCTACGCTAAAGTAAGTTAATATCTCTCTCTCCACCGATACTCAGACCGGAAGCCGGAAAGAAGAAGAAGAAGAAGAAGAAGGAGAGAAGGGAGGAAGGAAGTTACAGGAGTAGTGGAGTGAAAAACACGTAAAAAGAAAAAAAGAAAAAAAAGAAAATAAGACTAACGAAAAGGTTTGCTTGCTTGGTGGTGATGGTGGTGATGGTGGTGGTGTGCCGCCCTCTGCTTACTGCTGCCCACTTGCTGTCGTCGACTACCAGGGACTAGTAGTAATAACTATTTCCAGACACTTTACATTTTTTTCTCCATGCTATTTTTTATCGTCTTTTACTAATTTTACGCGTCTAAATGAAATAGAAAAGAAATTGAAAAAATACAAATTGTATATTTATCATGATTAGGATTGTTTTAGATTTTTTCTTATCGAAAGTACAGTTGTTACGATTCAATATACATGCACATTTATATATATATATATATGAAGATCGTTCGTTTAATTCATTTCGAATAATAATAATAATTTTGTTAATATATTCTATGTAATATCGTGTACGTATTTTAATAATCTACGTTGAAATAACAATGAAATCCCTGTATAAACGTAATCTCGGTTTTTTAAAAGAAAAAAGAAAAAGAAACGTAGGAATATTTAATGCAATGTAAACGAGTATTATTCGACGGATAAATACGTTTTATTAAAATTGGGAATATATATATATATAAATGAATTGTGTAAATTGTTTGAATATATTTCTCTTTACCATCATCTTTCGTATTTGTTATATGTGTTTTTTTTTTACATAAGAAGTACAAATAAATTTGTGAGTTACGAAAAAAAAAGCGAGAAAGGAAATTTTCAAATATATATACTACCAAACTTCGAAGCTTATCAAAAGTTTAATGATTTAATCGTACGAAAAGAGAAAAAGATAGAAACAGAGTGTGAGTGAGATATATATATATAAAAAAAAAAAAAAAAAATGGTAAGAAAGACATAAAAATTTCGTGGAAAGATCGGTGTATTTCTGGTAAAAAACATTTCAAGTTCCGGAACGAAAAGGAAGGCTTGGTTTTCTTCTGGTATACACATTGATAAGAATCTACTGTGTTTATTTAACAGTTATTTCATGTTACTCAAAAGAACTTCAAAGAGAGACACAAAACCGATTTGAAACGATAGAGTTACGTAATATGTCAGATAACATTATATATATATATATAAACATACACATACACACACGCATATATACATATATATATATTTGATTTTATTTTTTTTGAATTTTTATAAAATGCAACATAAACCTAAAAGATATGAATCTAGATACACCTATAATTAATTGCAAAGATCGGATCGGTCGTCGTTTACTACACTGACGTATGAGTAAAAGGAAAGAAAAAACAAAAAAAAGATAAGAAAAGAAAAGAAAAATTCTCTCGTTGACCAGTGAGTTCTAATGCGGTATATTCCCCCGCAAATGAAGCGTGGAACGTTGAAGGCACACATATACACACACTAACTAAGTATGAGCTAAGAAACAAATCCGTCATCGCGATTCTACGCTTCGGCACTGCTGTCAAAGACGAACAACTCCGAGAAAACGTCCCGGACACGTGGTGCGTGTCGGATGTGCACTTCATTGAACAACTGCAGTAACATATATTTGTCTTTCAATTGCAAGATCAATGATCGATTCATTCACTTCAACATTCTCTTTTCTTTATATGCAATTATTCAAAGAAAATAATTATTAAAAATAATCATCCTTTTGATCATCGATAAAAACACATTGAAACAAAAAAAAAAAAAAAAGAAAAAATAAGAAACACATCGATTATACAAATGTATAATTATAATAAACAATTTAAAATGATATGTCTTTTTAACCAGTTAACTGTGGCGAAATCAAGCCATGACGATTATACACGTCGATACACAAAATCGTTCCACTTATCCAGAACGAGTATACTCGTCAATCACAGTTAACTGGTTAAAAACGATTATCCTGTTGTATCTTTAATTCGTACAAAAAGAAACACTCGATTTACTTATTTTAATGAGATCAAACAAGGTTGTTGATTAAGTACGAGCAGTAGAGTGTAGAAAGATCGAAACAAAAAAAAAGAAATCAAAAGAAAAAGAGAGAAATAAAAAGATATGTATCATCCTAATAAATCGTACGAAAAGATTGCCACCTCCTAAAAGAGATTACACCACTCCAAACATACTATACTCTCTCTAAAGTATCACAAACAAGCTTACCGATCGTTGATGATGATGATGACGATGAAAAAAAACAAAATAAAATAAAAAGTCTATCACCGTTTAAAGATGCAGTTCATTATCCCATCGGGTTTTGAGGGTCTATCGGATATCGTTGATCAAGAAACTTAAAAGAAGGGTTTACCTTTACCTCCCCACCTCGTCTATTTAAGGTTTGATATTGGTGTGGAATTAAAGAGGTGTAAGAAGAAAAACAAAAAGAAGAAAAAGAAAAAAGGTGCCAGTTTTCTTTCTCTCTCTTTCTTTCACACATTTTCTTTCTTTTTTAGGTTAGGTCGTAATAAATCGCAGTCGCGCGAATGCACCGAGCCATGCAATCAGGATGCGACGCCTCTCTGCAATCTGGAGCTTGGGCACGTACTCTCAACCAACTAACCAACCAACCAACAACCCTCTTCGGCCTTTGGTTTATATGATCCCTTGGCACCTGAGACCTCTAACCAAAAATTACAGCCATTATCGCGATAAAGGTGAGAACCTCAGTCGTTGTTTGCTTAACCCCGATCGAAATCAACTCTAAAGGTCGAACAAGAGATTTTGCACCTCCTCCTATAAAGAAAGGTGCAACTCAAACGATGCATAGGGAAAGAGAAAATTAATAAATAAAAAGATAAAACACGTGTTTCATATTTTCTTCCCTTTCGTTCTCATTGGTTCGTTTATTTCTTCGTTGATTATTTTGTCTGTGATTTTTTATGGTTTTTTTTTTTACATACCTAAATTACATCCCATATATATATACAAGTATATTTTTTAATAAACATTAAGATTGTTGTGTTATTTTGTCAAGCAATCCACGTGTAGATAAAGAAATCAAAGTTTTGCTCACTCTCGCAATTAAATTTATATATTTGATTTCGTAAGAATTATGATATCATTTTTCATACTAATCTATGGTATACAACATTTTATACAAACTTGTAACATTAAAATATAACGAACGTGTATAACGATTTGTCTCTAGGTAAAAATTCTCATCGTAGTTCGGTTATATCTAACTCTTATACTATATTGATATGAGTAACGATCGAAAAGAAAAGAAAAATATTAAATAATAATAATAATAATAATAATAAAAAGAAAGAAAAGAAAAAAACAAGCAAGCTTATCTCACGGAATGATCAACGATCGATTTTAAATCGTGTGGCACGATTTCACAAGAGACTTAACATTAGAGGTACGTTTAATATTCCGACGCACTTTTTGCCAATGGCGTCAAATAAATAATATATTATTCTTGCCAACTTAATCAAGCTTATGTTAGTTAGTTGGATTCTTGATAGGAAAGTGTTACTATTCCGCGCATTTAACCGGAAACTTGAATGGTCATTACAATTCTCAGCCACGAATAGAGCCATTAGTGGTAATGTATTCTAACGTATTCCAATGTGATTGCAAAAAAGAAAAAATAGAATAAGAACAAACAAAACAAAAAATTACAAATAGAAATAGAAAAGTAGAAAGGACAAAAAGAAGAAAAAGAAACAGAAGGAAGGAAGGAAAGAGAACAAAAAAAAAAAAAAACAAGAAAAGGAGGAGGAGTCAGATTATCGTTCGATTAATTGCATCTCAGTTTTGTTAATATAAAAAGTAATAATTGATTGATCATATTGTTATATCTAATGAAATAAAAAAAGGAAAAAATGTTACAAAATTATTCTCTTATATGATTTTATCTTATTTCCCATGTGTCGACGGATTTTACACGTATGATTGATTGATTTATTTATTTTTAATATTCTATAATCTCCTGAAACCGAATTTTAATCTGGTAACTTTAAATCTGTAAATCGATTTATTATATATATATATAAATATTTAATCGATAAGAAAGAAGAAATAAACAAAAAATTCTCTCCCCAACTACTCCTAAAAAATTCGTAAAAACTTTCGTTTTTTAAAAGAACGATTCAACCAAAATTTCTTCATTCTTTTGACAAGAGGACAGGTAGGGTCTCTCTCACTTTATTTTTTTATTTCTTTTCTTTCTTTCTCTTCGTCATCTTAAACAAGCGGTGTGATCCGTAATTAGCCGGCCTTCGAACCGGCTCGCAAGGTAAATTTGTAAATTAGTCTTAAAGCAAGGTAAAAGAAACACAGAGAAAGAGAGAGAGAGAGAGAGAGAAAGACAGAGACACTTACCTCAATGATGGCAAGGAAGAAAATTTCGTTGCAGGCGTGAGAGTCTCGCAGGTGCACACCCAAACCCAAGCACACAGTGGCCCTTTTTCGAGATATAATATAATTCCGAAAAAAAGGATTTTCTCCTTCCCCCCTTTTTTTTATATATATATATTCTTCTTCGTCTTTTATTCTCGTCACTTTCGTTGGTCCAATTTTCTTCTTCTTCTTCTTCTTTTTCTTCTTCCTTTTCTTTTTCTTCTTTTTCTTTTCATTCGCGTTTCGCGATATATAATGTTAAATAATATCGTGCACTTTCGTTAAATAAAAATGGAATTATGGTTGAACTGTTAATCATCGACACCATTGACTCGTTTATTTGACTTTGGAACAGACACACCATAATCACCTTTTTTCTTATTATTTTTCAATTCATTCGATTGAATTATTTCATAACATAATTTTTATATATTTTTCATTGAAGATTGATAAAACGGAAAGAATAGAAATGACCACCCAAAAGTTGTCAAATAATTAATTATATCTTCTTGAAAGAACTCAAGATGTATCATAGGAACTCACAGCAACGTGAAGATGGTCTTCTATGGGGTTGAAGAATGGAATTTCGCGAATAAACGCTACGTTTTATTCTTCAATCTGACGTAGAAACGTATGAAGAAAAAAGATGAAAGAAAAGTAACACACACGGTAGAAATTGAAGTAGTATCAATAATGTTGAGTTTCACCTTAACGAATGAAACCAACAAAATTTGACGTTGTATCAAAATGATGAGAAACGGATCAAAGGTTTAAAGGACGAAAAAAAGGAATAATACGAAAGGAAAGGAAGATAATCTTGAAAAGCAAACTACTTTGATGATAAAAAGATGAAAAGTAGGAAGAAGAGACCACCAAATAGGATAGAATGAAATATAATATAGAATTAGTGTATAACACACCCCCAAAAAAAAAAGGTGATGGGATTATCCGTAAGTGTAAACGCGTAACACAACGTGCTGCTGTTGCTTTTGTTGTTGCTGTTGGTGCATCTTATTCTTCTTCTTCTTTTTCTTCTTCTTCTTGTTCTCAGTGGCCGTCGCTCGAGACGTTGCTGCAAGACACATAATTTGTGCGCATTACTGGCCCAAGATATACGACGGTTTTCTTCCGATCAATGGCTTCCAGACCTTCCCCCACTCACCCTTTTTTATTCCCCCCACTCACCCCTTTTCCTCCCTTCCTTCCTTCCTTTTTTCGTTAAACCCTTTTCTCTTCTTCGGAGATTCTTTTTTAGAATTACGAGTATCTTTATATCTTCTTTTTTTACTTTGTACAATATTTTGTTCATATAATATTTTGTTATTGTTGTTGTATAGATTTTTTTCTTGATAAATCGAAGAAGAGTAAAAGAGACGTTTTACTAAGGTAAAACGATAGATATAGATCGATCGATAGATCGTAATCTTTCTTGATCTTTCTTTTAAGTTTACTTCGATTCTAGAAGCACTCACAACAACAACGGAGGTTATCGCACTTGACTCTGAGTCGAGGCTGAAATATTACACCTGATAATAACGATTATTGTCTGTTGTCTCGTTATCATACACAACGGTGTGGTATACTAAACCACGTTTACGAGAAACACGAACGAATAACAATTTTTTTTTCTAACTCGTTAAAAGGATCAATCCTATYAACCTCCTATTTTATTTTATTTTTGTTTGTTTAATCCATAAATGGGATATTAATTTTCTCTAATTGATTATCGAAAATAACCGTTTATTCGTTTATAGTTTTTCACTAGTTAAATTTAATCTTCTTAATTCTCAGCTATCTCACGATATTATTATAATTGTTGGTTGTTCACACCTTTTCGAGWTAATGGAATATATTGTATTGTATTGTATTTTATTTTTTTTTTTTTGTAAATTAGAAATTCGTTTTCGATCATTTGCTTCTATCCCTTCTCTTCTTCCTCTTTCTCCCCTTCCAACGAGAAATCACCTTTTCGGTTTAGCGCCCGTTTACGTAACCATCCCAAAGACACAATCCCAGTACTTTTCTGTCGTTTTGAAAACGAAGACAAGATCCGCCGTTGGCCTAAGCGTTAACACGTAATGTACACAATTCGAAGTAGTCTCCTCGTCGAGTATCGTGTGGCATTTTCTTTATCCTTTTAATTTTTATTTTTTATTATATA